CTGAATAACAGAATATTTAAAAAAAGTTTTTTTTAAAGATTTATTTATTTATTTGAGAGAAAAAGAGGTGCAGAAGGGCAGAGGGAGAGGGAGAGAGAAACTAAAGCAGACTCCATGCTGAGTGCAGAGCCCAACATGGGGCCAGATTCCACGACCCAGAGATCATGAACTGAGCAGAAACCAGGAGTTGGATGCTCAACCAACTGCGCCATCTAGGCGCCCCAAAACCCAAAGTATTTTAAAGTATGCAAAGCCATGGTTTTGCAAAATATCAACAATGTCTGACTTTAATTAGTATTGCACCTGTCTGGATACTCTGTTGATGGACTGATTATGCTTAGATGTATGAGGGGGGGAAAAATCTAGAATTCATAAATTATATTTATTCCCTAACATTTCTTTTTCTTGACCATTTTGGTAAAATCACTAACTATATTGTTACAATCAAGATTTTTAGGGGCGCCTGGGTGGCTCAGTTGTTAAGCGTCTGCCTTCGGCTCAGGTCATGATCCCAGGGTCCTGGGATCGAGCCCCGCATTGGGCTCCCTGCTTAGCGGGAAGCCTGCTTCTCCCTCTCCCACTCCCCCTGCTTGTGTTCCCTCTCTTGCTGTGTCTGTCAAATAAATAAATAAAATCTTTAAAAAAAAAAAAAGATTTTTACATAATTTGTCTGCTATTGAAAGTAACTATCTGAAGGATTAAAAATAAAATGTAGTCTTTAAGATATACGAAATTTATATTGCATTTATCAAAATGTGTAAATTTAAGTAAATGTGATAATTATTTTTCATAAGTTTTCAAAAATGCTATTTTCTTCTAAAATATTTAAAATTTTCAGAATTAAATGACAAACTGCAAATCAAAATTCATGATTATTGAATTTTTTAATCAAATTATTTTAGAGATGAAATTTAAATTTAATTTTTATAAATTTTATTTAACCAATATTAATTTTTAAATAAAAGGCACTAAAAGCTAGTTAAAAATTTAATTTTCACTGTCCATCTAGTTGCCAATAGAAAGGATCAGCATCATGTTACATGCCTATTATATTCTAAACATATATATATACAAATTTAAAAGCAATATGAGTTATTCAACATTGCAAAATTTTATTCAGCTGTCATGTACAATTGTTTCAAATATTGAGCTAATTCAAGAGAACCTCCAGATCCACAAAGGCAAGCCAGAAAATGGATGCTCAGGCTTCTTAGAAAATAATTCTTCATTATGTAAGAAACTATTGCATTCAATTTGAGAGGAAGGATTTGTCACAGTAATTAATTTGTATTTTCTCTTCCTTCGATGATTCTGCCTCTCGAATCCTCCATGCTGAAACAATACCTATTTCTGAACTCGATAGGGCACAACTCACAAGCCTTTATGCAATTTGGACAGGATTGTCTCTTTTTGTTTCAAGGTCACAGACATCAGGCAAGGAAAAGTGTTTCTCTGAGGTTTGAATAGAGTTAGCATGAGAGCATATGTTGAGGGATGCAGATCTTGCTGTGCCAGGACCAAGGGCCTAGCCTGAGTGGAAAAGGCACCTATGTGTTCTTTAACCATTTATTTTTGTGCAGAGCCTTTTATGTCCAGCTCTCAGAGTGTTGATGCCCCCAACACTTCACCTTTGTCACATGATTCACCTCTCACCCACAATCATCAGAATCAGTGTTCTGTGATCAAAACTTGAACCCACTCGGTGCCTGGTAGCTCCGTTGGTTAAGGGTCTGACTCTTGGTTTCGGCTCAGCTCATGGTCTCTGGGTCATGAGACTGAGCCCCACCTCAGGCTCCTGGGCATGGAGCCTGCTTAAGATTCTCTCTCTCCCTCTGCTCTTCCCCATCTCTCTCTCTCTGTCCCTCTATAAATAAACAAAACAAAACAAAAACAAAACTTGAACCCACTGGGATAGGTGACCAGAAAGCCTCATTTGGGCAGGGAAATAAGCTGTGGAATCTAGACCCACAAGCAAATATTAACAAGAAAAAAAAACAAAAAACAAAAGCAAGAACCACCAAACACTTAAGAAAAATCAACACTATGGAAGAGAGACACCAAAGGCAACAAATAAGAGAATTGACACTTGGAAACACAATGTTAATAAGAGGGGAAGCAGGCAATGGCCAGATCCTGACAGGCTTTATTGGTCATGCTGAGGAGATTGGACTTTATGGAGTTGTCGGAGGGCCTGTGGAAGGTTTCCACCAGGAAATGGCTTTATCATATTTGCGTTATAGATAGGTCACTGGTTGCAGTGTGAGAAACAGTTTTGAGAGGAATAAGATTAGATGCAGGAAACAATTTAGGAATCTATTTAATAGTCCAGATGGGAGTTGATGGAGGCCTGAACTAAGGCATGGGATAAAGAAAATAGTCTGAAAGGACTCAGTAGATATAATCATTAGAACATAATGATTGATTGGAGGTAAGGAATGAGGATAAAAATCAGTCAAGGATAATATCCAGGTTTCTGGTGTTTAGACTGATGGGATCATTGTGTTGCTAATTGATTTTGAAAAATGGGAGCAGAAGCAGATTTGGTGAAAATTAAAATTTAAAAAATATTAGTCATAACAAATAACAGCAAATAGTGATGGGATGGATGACACTTACTGAGCTTCTACTATATGCTATTTATGATTCCATTTCATTCTTCAAACTAACTACACCTATTATTCCAGTTAATGCTATACACATTTTGAAAAATGGATATATTAATTAGTCTCTTTTGACAGGAAAAAAACTGAGGTGTAGCAGGGTCACCTAACTTGCCCAAACTCACAGACAATACCCTTGATAAATAGTGTTATTGTCATTGTAGCAAATAGTGTATTGGGATTGTTTCTTATAATGTCTGCTTTAATTTACTGCTGCATAACAAAATACCAAAAGGTATTGGTTTAAACCAATAATAAGCATTCATCATACCACACCTTTTCTGTGGATCAGGAATTCAGGAGCAGCTTAGTTAGGTAGTCCTCATTTTGGATGTCTCATGCGGTTGTAATCAAGATGTCAGCCAGGGCAATAGCCATCTGAAGGCTTGACTGGGATTGGAGGGTTCACTTCAAGATGCTGCACTCTAATGGTTGGCCCACTGGTGCCATGATTGGCAGGAGGCTTCAGTTCCTTCCCATGTGGACCTCTCCACAGGGCTGCTTGAGTGTCCTCAGGACATGGCAGCTGACTTCCACAGAGTGAATGATCCAAGAAAGAAAGAGATAGGAGCTACAATATCTTTTATGTCTTAGCCTCAGAAATCACACAGTGTCATTTCCTCACTGTCCAGATTCAGTGTAGGAGGAGAATAGAGAGAGATGAGCATCACTGGGGTCATCTTGGATACTGGTTGCCACGTGTCCCTTAATTTGGCCATGTGGCATTAAGTCACAGTACCTTCGACAGTAGTCTGGTTCTCAGCTCATCTGACTTAACCGATGGATAGATTTTTAGAGATAAGCGTGTGCTCCATACCCTGAAGGCAATCCTTTATTAATATTGTATCTGTCAATGAAGCTTTAGTCAATGTTGAGCATCAGGAAATTTGACATTGTAATCCCTGACAAGTTCCTTGAGGGCAATAAGCCTCCCCTGGTGGTTAGCAATATAGAAGGCCTAGCATAGCTGATCTCTGTCTACATGGAACCCTCATCCCTGGCCACTCTCTGCCCATTCATACATTCCACTGTCACCCTCATTTTCCCCCACCTTGGAGTCTTTGAAGCTGCAGTTGCCTCTGCCTGGAATGCTTTCCCTTGCTTCCTCCCACTCCTTCTCTCCCTTGGCTTCTTATTCTAGACTTCAGCTTACTTGTCATTACCTCAGAGAGAGCATCCCTGCTGACATGGGACTCACATGGAGCCATGGCCTCTCATAATTGGGGGTCCTGAGCTATGTTCTGCCAGGAAGCAGGTGAAAAGAAATCTGTTTTACCTGAGGAAGGCAGCTACATTAGCACTCTCATGGGGGGAAGAAAAGGCGCCATTTGTTATGGTTGTCATGAATAATAAAGACAATTATTGCTACCATTTGTCAGTACTTAGATAGCAGTTGTGCCCTTGTCCTCATCTCCTTCAGGAATTTACTTGCATAAACTAATAGTGAATAAAAGGGACTTTACTAAAGATGTCAAGGGAAGAATGAGAAGTAAACAATCTGAAAAAAAATCTCCCTTAGATACCCCTGTTGCTCTGACATAGGGATATTTCTGGGGGTTTTTTGGGGGGTAGTCCACTTTTTCTTTTAAATAGGCTCCATTCCCAGTGTGGAGCCCAATGTGGGGCTTGAACTCACCACCCTGAGATCAAGACCTGAGATCAAGAGTCAGATGCTTAACCAATTGAGCCACCCAGGCGCCCTGACATAGGGATATTTCATCCAGTGTCGTGCTGTAAATACTTACTAAGCAGGTCTTTGGAAGGTGGGAAGGGCTCATTTGTACACTTGCCAGGTGCCATGGTGTAAATATTCTCACCATGGTTAATTGCACACTACCAACACAGTATCACCAAACACAGAGCTGGAAGGAGATGCCAACAATCAGCCCTAGGAAGCCAATAGGAGCCAGCTCCAGCACATCCTAACACCCATTCAACACCAACATCTTTAATTCTTTTATTTTCTTCCTCAGATTTATTCCATCTCTCAGCCCCTAACCATCAAACTTCGTCTATCCAGACCCTATTAGGCATTCAGAAAAGCAAAAGGTCTTCAGTTAATGGATTCATCCTTCCTAGAAAGCGGTCAATTTTGATAGCAGAGCTTGACTTTTGGGGTCTTGGGTCAAAGAAGCCCATCAAAGTATTTCTCTTAAACTCATGTGCTAGAGCCAAGAGTAATTCAAGAGAATGTTATTTCCTGTTTTTCCTTATACATGCATCATTTCATTTATAATCTTTGTAACTGTCATTTGGGGTATCATTACCCAATTTTCCATTTAGGAAATTGATGTTGAGGGATTTTTTTTTCAGTTTATAACTTTATTTGACAATCAGTGATTAGTTATCATCCACATTAACTGTCCGTAGATTTTTGAAAGTGACTACAGGTACATAGGTAACCAACGTATAGAACTTGTTTGGTGAATCTTCATCCTCATTACATTTTCTGGACAACCACACATGGATGTGGTATGGAACATTCTTTATTCCTTTGGCCCAGATAGCTTTGTGGAGCCTGGTGTTGATGTGCACATCTGGAGTTCCCATCTCCTTCATGGCACATTTCCGGATCTCTTTGAATGCCCGAGGGGCACGCTTCTGGAAACCCACTCCGTGGACGTGCTTGTGAATATTGATGATGTATTCTCTGGTCACTACCTCGTTGATGGCAGAACAGCCCTTCTTCTTCTTGCCACCCTTCTTCATATGAGCGATTCTGCTGGGCCCTGGTTGGAAAAGTTGAAGTTGAGGGATTTTAAGTGACTTGTCCAAATTCATTGAATTAGGAAGCAGTATACCAGGATTTGCTAGGGCTGACTGATTTTGTGTCTGTGCTCTTCATCCTTACCTTACATTATGCGTACCTGTGCATCTGTGCTGTGTCATAGAAAGCTGACTGGAATGCACTGATATAGTTATTTCTCCATCAACCACACGGCCTTCCCAGAATGTTGCTGGAGAATTACAGAATTAACACTATGACTTGAACAAAGTGAGGGTTTTTTTTTTTAAGATTTTATTTTTAAGTAATCGCTACACCCAACATGGGGCTTGAACTCACAACCCTGAGATCAAGAGTCGTATGCTCTACCGACTGAGCCAGCCAGGTGTCCCCAAAGTGATTTGTGTGTGTGTGTGTGTTTTTAAGACTTATTTATTTATTTATTTATTTATTTATTTATTTATTTGAGAGAGAGAGTGTGTGTGTACACACATGTGGGCGCTGGTCGCATGAGTGGGGGGAGGAAGAGAAAGAGAGAGAATCTCTTAAGCACACTCCACACTGAGCACAGAGCCCAACTCAGGGCTCCATCTTACAACACGGAGATCGTGACCTGAGCAGAAACCAAGAGTCAGACACTCAACCGACTGAGCTACCTAGGTGCCTCCAGAGTGAGTTTTAAATAAAGAAATTCATAAGACATTTTTTTTAGCATGTGTCAACAATACAGGAAACATGGAGCCAGGTGGAGTTGTGGATATAAACATGGGACCTAAGTCTTTTTGAACGTTTGTAGAAAACCAATGACTAAGTTGCTTAAGGCCAAGTCTCATAGGGTGTTCCATGTGGGGAACAAACCAGGAGATAATTGTTAACTATACAAGGCTGTAATATGTCAGGTGGGATCCTTAGGAAATAAATTCACGTTACTTAAACTAAGTTTTTGGTGGCCAGACTCCATTCACCCTTCTTTTAATAACAGTGCCCATTTTGTTCTGGAGTATCTTGCCTCCCAAATTTTCAGTCCAGGTGCTCTAGGTGGTATTCATTCTTTGTTCTTCTTCCAAAGAGTTCATGTGGGGTGAATTTTATGGTATGTGAGTTATATTTCAATAAAGCTGTTATTACAAAAAATAGAATTCATGAGACTCAGTCCGGCTAATTAGAATATTACATTCTCCTGGCCAGAGTGAATTTGTTCAGGGACAGTTATGTAACCCAATCACGCTAATAAAAAGAAATGAGGCTTTTGCTGGGATTGTTGAAAGGCACACCTTAACACATTTTTTTGTTATTGAATTGACCTGAGAAGATGATTCTAGAGCTAGTTCTCTCATAGGGTCAGAGAACAAGCCCAACCTTCTCAAGACAAACATTTAGATGGTATTTCCTGATGACATTTTGTTTGACCTTCCTCCAAACCCAGCCTTAATTGAAGTGTGATCTTTCCTTTCTTTTTTTTTTTTTTAAGTTTATTTAGGTAATCTCTGTACCCAATGTGGGGCTCGAACTCATGACCCTGAGATCAAGAGTCACATGCTCTCCTGAGTGAGTCAGCCAGGTGGCCTGAAGATCTTAAGACTTTTCAGTACCATAAGCCAATAACTTATCTTTCTTTCCTTAAGCCAATTTGGGTTGTGGTTTTTTTTAATGGCAACTAGAAAGAAGTTCTAAATGATGACACAACTTATACCAAAACTGGAGTGTAAAGAACACTCAACTATAGAATTATCTAAGTTAAGGATAGTTTCCATAAGAGTGAACACCCTTCTTTCCTAGACTGGAAAGTTGGCCACTCTTATAGCCCTTAATTTGAAGTAGGAAAGAGCTGGTCAGATGACTATCATGTATTTTATCTTGGGACTAGGACTATTTATTGCCAAAGGATGGAATGTTAAAAGATACAGTACAACAATGGAAGAATTTTAGAGTACGTTGGCTGTTTCTTGTGGCCTATGTGATGGTGCTCCTTAAAGGAGGGCTTGGTTGAAAGTGGCTCAATCTGATATCTGAGAGCTAGAATCAATATTTTTAAAAACACTCCTGATCCCACAGGTCCCATCCAACCAGCTCTCCTAATGTACTTCTTTGCCTGACAAAATGGGCAATTACCAATTACAAAAATGTGGCGGGGACACAGTCCTGGAGCAGATTAGCTTCAGCTACGTATCCAAGAACATCATTTTGAATTTTGTAAGACAGATGTAGAGATGAAGCCATTAAGCTAAGGGTTCTAGAAGAACAACAGAGCCCTGGAGTCTGCTGCTAAGAAACAGAAGCCCATAGGTCCAGTTCTAGACTCGACTAGTTGTCTGGCTTTGGTTGTTAGGTCAGAGAATTGCATGGATGCAAGAGCTAATGAAACTCCAAGTCTGGCATAAGCACTAGTGATCATTTTACCCCTAAGTCTCTTGTTATACTATTAGTAGCTGAAGAGGTGTAACCTCAGGAAGGGAAACCCTCCCCAATGTCCATCTTAAATGTGGCCTTGGAGGAAAAGGACTCTTTTGGCCAATTACTTCACTTCCAAGATTGGGAACCTTGCTATTCCTATCTAGCAGTATATGATGCATGCTATGGATTGGAGACAACTCTCTATTTTTTTTCTACTCTTCTTTTTTCCAAAGAAGTGTTGATGGGGGCTAGGTGACAAAAAAACAAGATGATGGACAGATCACAACTCCACTTTTTTTTTTTAAGATTTTTTATTTTTAAGTAATCTCTATATCCAATGTGGGGCTGGAACTTACAATTCCAAGATCAAGAGTCACATGCTCAGGGCACCTGGGTGGCTCAATCAGTTAAGCATCCGACTCTTGATTTCAGCTTGGGTCATGATCTCAGGGTCGTGAGATTGAGCCCAGCATTGGGCTCCGAGCTCAGCAGGGAATCTGCTTCTCTCCCTTTCTCTGCCTCTGCCTCTGCCCACCCCCTGCCCCCTGCTCACATGCTCTCTTTCTCTCTCTCAAATCAATAATAAATCTTAAAAAAAAAAAAAAAAGAGTCACATGCTCCACTGACTGAGTCAGTCGGGTGCCCCTCACTACTCCTCTGTTATTCCTGATTCTGTTCCCCAGGTACTTTGATATTGGGAATACTGTTGTGTCAATTCCAGTCTATTGGAAAGCAGATCCTGATGAAGTTAGAAATGCAAAAGGTTTATTAGGGGGGTGGGGGGAGGACCCACAGGAAAATTGATACTCTAAAAAAGATACTCTAAAAGAGAGATTTATCAGGAGTAATGTCTGTAAAGGATAAAGGGGGAACAAGTTGGAGTGGGTGGGCAAAGCCTTCAGTTGGCAACGCAGATCACACAAAGCCTGAGTCAGTGCAACGGAGAGCTCTATAGCAAAATTGCAGTTACAGTAGTCTGCCTTGTACAGAAATGGCTAGATATGAATAAGTCTGTCATGCTTAATCATTGCCTGGGAGGGCTGCCCAGGAAGAGCATGGCCTCAGCTGAGAAGCTGGGTGGGTCCTGAAGGTGCTGCTGACGGAGGCTGTTAGCTAGCTGCCCTCTTCCCAACTGAGCAGCATGTTCTTTCTTGAGAGCAGACCTGATGGTTGCACTTCCATGGCCAACACAGTTTTTGGTTCTTTTTATTACCATTATTACCATAACACATTGGGTATGTTGGTGTGTTCTTGTGTTACTTTTATCATTTATATGGATTATATGAAGTCACCCAGAGAACTTCGACAAATATTTCAATGGAGCCACGAGACAGAAATTTGAGTCGTCCTATTTTAAGGTTGGAGTGGTTGTGTTTTGGTTGCATATGGTATTTCAGTATGGTAGTGTGGGCATGTTTCAAAGCATGTGTATGGGAAGAAGGGTATGTGGGAATGTCAAGAAACAAATTGAATAGTGAAAATCCATCTTGCTACCCAGCACACGTTTATCATTCTTCTAGCAAAAGTATCCCAACTTTCCTCTGTGGAGCCATTCTGTCCTACACAACCAGTCCTGATGCTTTAGAGAGAAGCTTATTCCAACCCTGCCTCCAGGGGTAGGCGTGGCTAAGCCTTAGCCAATCACTGTATCGCATTCTCCATGCCGCCCTGATAATACAAAGACAGGCACAAGATCCAGTCAGAGCCAATAATAGGCAGTGAGACTTTTTTTTTTTTAGGTTGTTGAGTGAAAAGCAAATTTTTTTGTTTTCTTCCGGATGTGAATCTGGAAATTGGCCTTGAAGCTAATGACAGCCATCTTGACACCTTGTAGAGAGTCTGAGAATATAGATGAAGTCAAGATGAATGATAGAGCCAAGAGGCTGAGAGAGATGGGTACTGGCTGAAACTCTATGACATGTATGTATATGTACCAAATTTTCTTAGGTAAAACATGTTCAAATCTTAGGAGGGATCATACATCAGGTAAAAATTTGGTACATGTACATACATTGTATATACACACACATATACACATTTATATTTACTTCTATATCTACTGTTATATATTAACAACAAGTTTATACTGAAATCTCCAATTCAAATCGAAAACCACAGGGTTCATTCTTATTTTCCTATTTTTTTTAAGTCATCTCTATGCCCAATGTGGGGCTCAAACTTATGACCCCGAGATCAAGAGTCACATGCTCTACCAACTGAGCCAGTCAGGTGCCCCTTATTTTCCTCTTTCTAATTGTCTTGTTTGCCTCCTGTTATGATGTATATATTAACTTAAATGCTTTATCCTCCTGTATGTAGCTAATCTTTCATTATGGCCACCGTGCCTCTTCCCGTGTCATAGAGCCCTCCTCACCCACTTAGAATCGGACATCCTCCCTGCCTTAGCAGACACTATTCTTAACTCTGCCTGGGCTCTGATACTTTGCACCTGGCTGATACTGGTGCCCTCCTATATCGATATCCTTTTCACCCAACTCTGACTTGGACATCCTACCCTGGGTCACCACTGCTGAGTAGTATCCATAGTATGGATGTACTATAGTTTGTTTAGTCATTCACCTATGGAAGGACATGTGGGTTATTTCCAGT